ATCTTTTCAAGATATTTGACATGATTGACCACTATTTGTCGCTTATTCCCAACATAGAATTCCCAGATTGTGCCAACCTTTTCAGTATTTTTAATATACCAGTTATAAGGAGTTGTTCCTACTACATGGTAAGTTCCAACAATAGGAATTGGTATGGGACCTGGTAATGGATTCGGACGTGTAAAGTAGTTGTAGTAAAAGTGCAATACGTATACTACCAGCAATATTGGTATAATAGAAACTGTATTGGAATATCCAGAACTTAATATTGATAGAAGCGACATTTTTTTTTTGTAAAAAATCTTTATTGTATGTATGTACGTACGTATATATGCACAACTTAAAAAGCATTCGATTATCATTTTCATTATATAATAATGTGTTACTGATTGAGCTTTTTATGCAGATATATTTATATAATGTAACAACACAAGATGGTAAATGTTTGTAAGAAAAATGAAAGAATGAAATCCACGAACTTTCTTAATGCAGATCTATACTTAATCGGGGTTAATTGCCGTGTGACAGCTTATGCATGTTGTCGATCATACCTCTAAAATGCGCAAAATGCTTTGATATTTTAGGTTAACGTTTGTATTATGATTCAGGGAAACTTTTCGTTAAATCACAGAAGATTGTTTCTTATGCAGATTTTTGAGAAATAACCACTTTTGGAAAAACAATTCTTGTTTTGGTCGTATAACGTTACACCTAATCTTAAATCTGACACATATGAACCTAGTATTACCAATCTAAAAAATTTCGCACATAATGTGCAAAACCAAGAAATAAATTTCTCGAAGAAAATACATTTCGCTATTAGTTATGGGTAGGGTATTGCAAATAGATTAGATTTAGAGGGCTATAGTTATACCAAAATTTTGCAAGGGAAACTTTTATTAATACGCAGAAGAATGTTTCATAAACCAAATTTCGAGTTACTGTCGATTTTTGATTTCTTGACCTTTTTTCACGTTACACCTGATCTCGAAATTTGACTGGCCAGCGAAATTTTAGATTGGTAATTTTTTGGCCTGTCGTATTATTTTGACACAAAATATTTGTCTGCTTACATAATGTAACCCTGGCGACGATCAAAAATTTAGGTCATAATTTTGCTAATGAAATCGTGTCCGCCCGTTAAATAAAAAATGATCCTGGCTAATTTTACCATTGAAAAGGCCTAAACTTTAAATTTTTCCATATTAGGGGTTCGTCTAAAGCAGAGTATTGTCACGAGACATCAAGCCAATCAAATTCTAGAATATTGATGATAGCTAGCGAAGCAAACACAAAAATAAAATCTAAAAAAAAATGGTATCTAAATCTCAATAAAATTTATAAGGAATCTACTCGTCCCCCATTTTGGAATTAACAAATTAAAAATTTAATTCTGGCCAAAATTAACTGATCTCTTTATTTATATAAAAGATTCCACTTAATAGTAGGTTAGTAGATCCACCATGAATTTAACCTACATAAGAACCCACTATATCCCTCAATGAAATATGAATTTTTTCAAAAACCTAAATTATATATGTAAGCTACGCGTAACTAAAATAAATATTCACGAACATAAATAATTTATTGAGTCTACATACATAAAAAAACAATTATACATTCTAAAAATATGACAAATTCTTTTGCGTATATTTATTGTGAGTTGTGTCAGACCGAAATTTGATTTTGAGATGCATCAAATCAAAAATTATCTTGTTAATCGTCAAATTCAAATCAATAATTTAAAATTTATACGGTGAAAAATAAATTCACCTATAATTCTATACTATATTATTGTACATGCTTCCATTATGAAATTTGCTTCTACATTCAAATCCAATTTTTTTTGCAACGACATTTATTAGTATCATAATTACTTTTACTATTGCTTCTACTTTTGTAAGAATACCACCAGTATTTTGATTAAGTGCAGCTTCTTTAACAAATATATAATCTGCTGAAATATTCTTTACTAATTCTGGATATTCTATCATATCCTGTAATTTTATGATCATTATTCTTGCGATAGGTGTTAGGATATAAAAAAAGTCGTAGAGAAGAATTAATCTAAATAAATATAAAGAATTAAATATATATAACAATAACTACCAAAAATTTTGCGTAATATTTCATAATGTTTAGTTCGATGCCAAATACCTGAATGGTATGTAAGGAAAGTCAAGTAACCCGATTTTTATTAATTTATAATATTATCATGACATTTATTATGTGTATTCCTGTATGACGCACCTCAGAATCAAAAGTTTAATTTATACAACTCAATTTTAAGCCTACGCTTATACTAATCTGTTTGTTTTTCGTTTTCTAAACAATTATTTTAAAAAAATTTCATAATTTGATTAATTAATTATCATGAGTTATCCATAAAAATTAAACAATCAGACGAACTTATTGACGTTATTCCAATAGGTTTATTAGTGATAATAATCACCTTGCCTCTTATGACATTTTGAAATATCGCCATGGGGTGTATGTTAAAAATTTTAGCCGACAACCCGGGGCGTTGTTTCGAGATAATCCGGTAATCTCGTTCACGGAATTTTGCAGAAAAATCACGGAATTGGTTCAGATCATTTTTTAAATTTTGGCCTGGATTTCGGGTCTACAGTCATCATAATGCTGGTTGATATTAATTCGGCCGGAATTTGCGAATCATAATGCTGGCCGGTTTTACGTAATTTCGGCCAATCGCAGAATTTTTGCAAAATCATATAGTGTGTAGCGTAATGATTAAAAAAGAAAGGATACTGCAGATCCAATATAATGCAATATTCGATGTCTTCAATTTTTTAAATTTTAAATTTTTGATAAAAAGTGGTATACTTATCAGGTTGGATTAATTTTGTGTTCGAAATCGAATAGTAATCAATGATGATGAATACACATCATTCTGGTTATATCGACATTTTTGAGACATTAGTAAAAATTTCTAAATGTCGATACGGTAAGTTATACCGACATTTTTATTAAAATTTTGAAAAAAAATGTCGGTATAACCAGAGTGATGTGTATTAATCTTTTATAAATAACGATTCAAATATAATAACCTGAAATTTACAAGTAGAAGGTGTTCGTGCTGGTCCTATTCGACATCACATGTCGTGCAGCTACATTACTAACTTGTATATTTGTAGATTTTATTTTCGTGCAATCGTCCTAAACTTTTGGAGCTTACATGTGTAACGCACTACGTTGAACAGTATTTATATAGATTCAAGAAAGTTATTCGCTAAAAGTATTACATTTAGTATTTTGATGGAATTTCATATAATTTCTTGCATCTAAAATGTCAAATACAAAGAGTAATGACTTAGAAAAAATTGCTCAAGTCGATAATAATGATTCTGATAGTATATTATGGCTTGGTTATTGTTACGAACATGGAATTGAAGTTGAAAAGAATAAGAATAAAGCATTCATTAACTATCAAAAATCCGCAGAGATGAATAATCCTAATGGAATATATCAAGTCGGTTATTGTTATTATTTAGGAATTGGAGTTGAAATTGATAAGCATAAAGCATTTATTCATTATTTGAAGTCAGCTGAGGCAGGTAGTTCTATGGGAATTCTTAAAACACTCATCTGCTACAGATACGGGATTGGTGTGGAACAGAGTGATGACAAATGTGGAGACTGGATTGTAAAGTAAGATATTTGTTAATATTCATTGCTATATTTAAATTTTCATATTTTAAAACTATAAATTCTTTAAACTGATTTTTTTAGAGAGTAGGTATAAATATCGATTAAATTAAACATAGAATCAATAAATAATACAATCCAAATCATTTCATTCAATTTGGTCTAGACCATATGTATAAAAAAAAACATTAATCTAAGTGTTAAACTAAACTATTCAAACTCATGATTCTTATTATTTAATTTCATTTAACATACTGCAGTTAGTGAGTATAAAGGACGTTTATTAATCCAAGTATTTAAAATAAGATATACAAGTCTATGAATATTTACTATTTAATTTCATTTAACGTACTACAGCGTGTGAGTATAAAGAACATTTATTTATCTAAGTATTTAAAATAGACTATTCAAATTCATGAATCTTTACTATTTAACATTATTTAATATACTACAGTGAGTGAGTATAAAGAAATTTATTAATATAAGTGTTTAAAAATAAATTTCAAGTTCATAAATATTTACTACTTAATTTTTTTAACATATTGCCAGTTAGTTAGTATAAAGAGCAACTATTAATCCAAGCAATTAAAATAATCTATTAAGTTTTATTTATATTTAATTTTATTTCAGTCGGTTAGTACAAAAAGCATTTGTTAATCGAAGTATTCATAATAAGCAATTAAGGTTTATAATTATTTACTATTTAATTTCATCTAACATACTACAGTGGGTTAGTATAAAAAACATTGATAATATAAATATTTAAAATAAGTAATTAAGTTCATTAATATTATTATTTAATTTTATTTAATATATTGCAGTTTGTGAGTATTAAGAATATTTATTAAAATAAGCTATTCGAGTTTATAAATATTTACTATTTAATATATTGTAGTAAGTAAGTATAAAAGAATATTTATTAATTTAGTATTTAAAATAAGCTATTCAAGTTCATAAACATTTATTGTTTTAATTTCATTTAACAAATTGCAGCTTGTGAGTATAAAGATTATTTATTACTCTAAGTGTTTAAAATAAGCTATTCAAATTTATAAATATTTACATTAATTTACATTAATTTAGTAAGTAAGTATAAAAAAGATTTATTAACTTAAGTTTTAAAATAAGTTATTCAAGTTCATGGATATTTACAATTTAATATTATTTCAGTCCGTGAGTATAAAGAACATTTATTAGTCTAAAGAATTAAAATAAGCTATTCAAGCTCGTGAATATTTACTATTTAATTTCATTTAATGTACTGCAGTTTGCAAGTATAAAGAATATTTATCGATATAAGTATTAAAATAAGTTACTCAAGTTCATGAATATTTACTATTTAATTTCATTTATCGTACCGCAGTGGGTAAGTGTAAAAGAGCGTTTATTAATTTGAGGCTATTCAAAGTTGAGTAGTTGTTTGACGTCAACAATTTGAGCTCAGTCTCGAGGGAAGTGAGGATAAACTTTAAACAAACACATATACAGCGCAGCATATTTGATTAAATCTCATTAGCAACTTTAATCGCATGATTGTTTTGCGTTATGATTGACTTGTTAATTTCCGGAGTGGCAGCTAACTGAGAAGGGGGGTAACGTTAAACAGCTGTTCAACTTT